TCTACTGTACAGGAATAGTTCGATCCATTGTTTGTTACCAGTTTTCTTCGAGTTTCTCTTGAGCGTACACTAGTACTTGAAGAGTTGTCAAAAAGAAATTTGTAGGAATCGTTGTAGGTGTACGTCTAGTCTTTTTCTCTCATGTTATAACTATTGTGTGTTACATATTTGTGGTGTGTAGAAACGGGTATTGCTTTGTAGTTCGCTACTTTGTAATACTATTTACTTGTCGAACATTGTCTAAGGTGGGTACATCATCAATGATGTTATATTTCGACAATGTCAGGATATAGAGCTTGCGAGAGCAGTGTTTCTTAGCAAGGACGCGAGCGGTCGCGGTACAGTATATTTTTGAGGATCAATGCGTATCATCATACTGCCCATTGATTTTTTGACCGCGCCGCTTTTCAAAAAGTCATAACGTTCTGGGATCTGGTTTGTACATATATGTGTCATTTGGCGACATTACAATTGAAATTGCCTATAGCGATTGGATGTGCCTTAGCTAACTTACTTAAATAGCTATATTCAAATAACTATAATGATGATGGGAATGTCGGGTTTTGCTTGTATCTTTGGTCAGACTATGGCAGGACTTCATTGGCAGCTGCATCTAGAATGTGTTGCATATTTGCTCCAATATCCCATGCAATCCTATGAATAGATGTACTTAACTGGTTACTTGTAGTCGAGGATGTTTTGCAAATTTGAACAGTATCACTCTCCTAACGAGTATGCCAGATGTCGTTGATTGTTAATGATGTTTCAGATGAAGATAAAGTATTATATAAAGGCCTTTTTTCGAGGTGTACATGAGTTTGAAACCCAACTATGTTCTCTCTTTGATGTACCTAGCCCCTAAAGAGTTCTCCAATGTTGTTTGAAGGATGCTGCGTGCGTTGACTAGCACGCATCGGTTATTCCAGTCGGTTTGGAGGCGCACGTTAGCTACTGTTCCACCAGTAGAGGCTCCAGAAGCAACGCAAGAAGCGGTGATATTTTTGAAGCAAGCATATTTTCGGCATAGCATATTAACTGTGCTTTTTTTTCAGAAGGTTGCCACTGAGCCTGAGGAAAACGGGTTGGGTGCGTCGGAGGATCCAGCAGTTACTGTAAAGGAGACTTATTCTTCAGATGCTATTGCGCGATTGAAGTAAGCAGTTTAAACTCGTTTTCTTGTTATGCTTCTTGGCTGCGTTCATAGCTTATGACTTCAGAGATTAGGATAATAAACGACAGAATGTGCAGGAGATTGGTGTTTTCAATCGAGCCGATCAGTATGCATCTGATCGTTTTAGCGTAATCTTCTGATCTACTTCTATTCTAATTTACTAACCTCTTACTATCCAAATCTCGCAGACAGCTGCTCTGCAGCAAATCAATCGATACGCATTCAATCTTTTATATGGAATATTCTACCCTCTACTAGCTTATTCTTCTGATTCCCTCGTATCCTAATCAACACATGACTTTTCCAATGTCGCCTACTATCCTAATCTGGGAAATCGTGAACTATGAATGCAGCCTTGCCATCTTTTAATATATATGCTTGAATATAGGCTGAACGAATACCCTTTCTACGTGGAACGGGAATGGTGGAAGAAAGGAAAGCGAATGACCTTCTGGGCAACTTGGCGACAGCTGAGAGATATCAAGTGAGCTCGTTTCCTTCTACTCTGTAAAATATTTCGTGCATTTCCTTTGTTGATATTTGCTATCCATTTTTTATTTGGCTTGTACTCATTGACAGTTCTTTTTTCCGTTACTCATGCATTTTTCCAGTTTCTGGTCTGATGAATTATTCGTAGGTATCAAATATATCACTAGTTTGGAGAAGCTTTTCCAGAAAGACTGTGTTTAAACATCGATAGGGAAAAGCCTAGCTGCTATTTCTGCTTTGCATTTCATGCTTTCTTTGATTTTACTTTCTCCACTATCGCTTGATGTTGTAGCCTAGTCTGCAGTCATCTGAATATTGCCGTCAAAGGTGATGCACATCTCCGCTAGCTGGAGATTGTTTTATGTTAGCAAGTTGATCTGGTACGGTTATCGTACTCTAACAAGTTCCCCCGTCTACCCCCTGTAACGGTGTCAATTAAGCCAATTTTGATGCAAAAAGGCAAAAACTTATCAAAAGTTGAAGGCTTATAATGTTCAAGTCTTTACAGTTCAAG